CATACTATGACTTCTTTTCAAGATTTTGGACGACATGCTATACCATGACTTTTTTTCATGATTTTGGACGACATGCTATACTATGACGTTTTTTTTTCATCATTTTGAAGGACATGCTATACTATGACATTTTTTTCATAATTTTGAACGACATGCTGTACTATCACTTTTTTTCATGATTTTGGACCACATGCTATACTATGACTTGTTTTTCATGATTTTAGACGACATGCTATACTATGACTTTTTTTTTCATGATTTTTGTCGACATGCTATACTATGACTTTTTTTTCATCTTTTCAGACGACATGCTATGCTATTACTTGTTTTTCATGATTTTTGTCGACATGCTATACTATGACTTTTTTTTCATCTTTTTGGACAACATGTTATAATCTTACTTTTTCTTCATGATTTTTCACGACATATTATACTATGACTTCTTTTCATGATTTTGGACGACATGCTATATTATGACGTTTTTCACTTCATTTTGGATGAATTGTTTTTCAAAGATATACTTTACTACCACCTTTTTTGTGATATTTGATAACATCATATGGTGAGTTTTATCGCATGATTTTTAATGACATTTTATACTTTGTAATTTTTTCATAATGTTTGAGGACATATTATACTCTCATGAAAAAAATGCTCAAAAAAATCCTTCGTATATTACGTGTAAAAAAGTTATATCACAGAATGGAAAAACATACTGCTAAAAAAAATCTCATTATAGTTTGCCCACAGAAATTATAGTATAGCATGTCGGAATAATTTCAAAAAAGCTCATAATGTAATGTAATGAAAAACAGTTATAGTAAGTTGAAAAAAAAACATTAAAAACATTATTGTACACTGCATGGAAAAAACTTCCATGAGAAGTCATATAAAGGTCTGAAAAAAGTCAGTGTAGTGTCATGGGAGACTACTTGGTATAGTATCTCAAAATAAATTTGTGGAGAAAAAGTCACAGTATTGTATGCCAAGAAGTGAGCGGAGAAAAAAATTGCTTGTTTGCATCAGTTTCATGTAAATCTGGGTCCTTTTAAAATTTTACACCTCTCCGTCCTTATTTCACTCTCTGTTCAAATTTCATACACACACACACAAGAATGAATTAATACAACCTGAATGACTGAATTAATTTATTAAGGATAAGGTACAACAACATGTCTCGGTGGAATTTAACCGACAGTCTTCATTTGCAGTTTCTTCAAACTTCTAACAATCAACATTTGGATGTTCACATTCACATCAGGATTTCAGCTGAAACTTCTTTTGACTTCCTGTCACTCTGCATTCATTAGGTAACATTTAAGCCGTGCACATTTAAAGTCGGCAGGTAAAATGAAAAAGAAAACATGGTGTCAAAGTTTGGAGTCTGCTGCCACAGAAGCTTCTGTCTGAGAGGACGACTCTTGATGTGTGAACGCTCTTTGATGCTTTTAGGTTTTACAGAGTTCCTCCTGACTGATGAGTCCTGTCACACTGATGTGGTTCAACAATGATCCAGGGTCTGGACTGGAGGACAAATTCAACGTCCATGTTCACACAGTATTGTCCCCTGTCATGAGACACTGTGGGGACATCCACTCATTTCATTCTTCTTCTTCTGGGGCCAAAAACTATTTCAAATCCAAATAACACATTTAGAGTCTGATTCAGATTCTTCTTTTTTTAAGAAAAATAAAATAAAATGAGTCATTACTGAAGAAATCCAGAAAAAACATCGATGGAACAGCTGATTCCAAACTTTATATTTTAAAGGAACCCACAGAACCAGGAAGTAGTGCACAGACTAAATAAAACCCTTTAAACCCTGATTATTTTTGTTCCTAACTGCACTTCCATTATTTCACTGATTACTGTAAAATTTCCATTAAAAGCCTCGTCCCAGTTTAACACCCAGTCCCTTTAACCAGACACATGTTGACAAATAAAGGCCCGTCTCAATTAGAGGCCTGGTCTGGTTGCCAAGCAGTTCATTTTCTTTATACAAGTTCTTTGGATGTTTAAACCCGGGTTGTTGTCTACCTCAAATGATGTGTCCATTCCTGGATTACCCTGTAGGTTATTCATATTCCTTCAGTCTGTCGGGGTCCTCAGGTCAAAAGGTTCATCCATAAAAATGAATCCAAGTTGTGAGGATTGTTTTAACAGGACAAAGTGGTTTTGTGTCGGTGTTCCCAGTGCTGTAACTCTCTCTGATGCTCCGTCTGTCAGAGTTAGACCAAATTAATGACTCATAATTTATATGTTATCTGGAGCCTAATTCTTAAAGAACTAATATTCAGACTGGTTTAAAAACACTTTGACTGTATTTCCTGATCTTTGCTGAGCAGCAGTTTGTGTGACAGCAATTAAAGGCCTGTCTCAAATACAGGCCTGTTGACTTCAGTCAGTGAAGCTATTAAGTGAAGTTTCACGGTATTTTTGTTCTTCTTTGCTCTTCACTTCCGTTATTTCTCCACAGATTATATGTGCATGAATCAGTGGGTTGAATCAGCGGCCCACGGATTCTGCAGAGATGATAAACACCATCTCAGGTGGATCAGATGAAGATTATCTGCCGGCGTGGTTTCACAGCGACGATAACTTCAGACTCTGAGATTTCAGGCTCCTTGTTGGGACGAAGCTCAAGTGAGGAATCACCTGAGGAGACAAAACTGTGATGAGTCATGGTTAAAATATCAAATATCTACAGTGAGACTGTCGTAAATGTTCCTGATCACACTCCTGCTCCTGAGAGGATCAACTGTTTTCATATTAACAACCCCGTGACCTTTCCTCTGGCGCCACCCACAGGACAAACTCTACATCTGTAGCTCCAAGAAAAGTCAAATCACCACGACAAACTCACACATACCGTGTAATCCATCAGAAGGGGAGCTGTCTTTAATTATTCCAGGACATCGTGATGACGGCCGAGTTTCTATCATATCTAGACCTGAAGGATCTGCACCTCCTTTTGCCTCCATCGTTACAGCTCTGTAAGACAGAGAGGACGGTCAGGTGTGTCGGCTTCACCGAGGTCAACACTGTGTCGATATTTAGCTTTTTGTGTAGTATAAATATATGAATTTTATATGTTACATTTGTG